AGAGAAAGACAGAGAGAGAGAGAAAGAGAGAGAGATACAGGAAGAGAGAGACAGAGAATATCTTACCCTTGTTTGGTGCACATACAGACACAGAGAGACACGCACATAGACACAAAGAGACACAGACAGATAGCCTTACCCTAGTTTGGTGACTCAGAGAGACACACAGAGTCACACAGAGAGACACACACAGAGACACACACAGAGACACACACACAGACACAGAAATACCCTTACCCTAGTTTGGTTCTCCAGCTTCATCCACAAATCCGCCAAGGACATCCTGATCTGGTGATATCCGAACCTTCATCCACCTGACTCCCGGGGGCGAGCAACCCACACTAGACAGCACACGTCACGCACGGCCTCACTCTGCTCACCACGACTACAACTACTACAGCTACATCGACAACAACTACAGCAACAACTACTACAGCAGCAACTTCAGCAACAACCGGCACGAGGCCTCACTCTGCTCACCACAACTACTACCACTACAGCTACAACTACAACAGCAACGACCGTCACGATATCACGTCTGGCTGACCAGTGTCTGAGCCGGGTACCTCCAACACTCCATCAGTCAGACTCCTCTGTCCAGATCCGAACGTCCAGCCGGCAGACACACCGTGTTGACACGCTACCACAGCTTATCAACGACGACTCCTAAAGGCACGGGGCAGCGAGTGCGTGAGCGACGTAACTGGGTTTGCTAAACGCGGCACAACAATCGAAACTAGATCTACTCACTCTTATAATTTGTTTCCGTCAAACCCCACACACGCTTATACACATACACATACAAATGCACACATACACACTCACTCACACATAAACACATACACATACAAACATACACACATACAAACATACACACACAAATACACACATATACACTCACACATAAACACACACATACATACACACACTCACACTCACATACACCACACACATTCGTAAACACAAATACACACATACACACAAACACACACACACACTCACACACAAACACACACACAAATACCCATACACAGAGAATGTCTAATCCAATTTGAGACAGATTTAAGTAGGAGCAAAGCGGTAGTACAGAGAGGATAAGCAGCAACCCCCCTCCCCCCTCCCTTCATCCATAGGCGGTCTCGTAAGTTTAAGGAGGTAAGAAAAGGGGGAAGG